GGCTCAGCGCCTGTGGCTCAACTGGCTAAGGCGCCAGCCAAAACACCTAAGGTGGCGGGTTTGAATCCCCAGCCTGGGCCCACCAAACAACAATGATGGCTGCAACCAAAAAATGGCCAGCGCTGTGGCGGGCGCCTGTAGTCCCAGCTACTTGGGAGGCGGAGGCAGGAGACTCGCTTGAGCCCAGGAGTTGGAGGTTGCTGTGAGCTGTGAGGCCATGGCACTCTACCCAGGGGGATAGCTTGAGGCTCCGTCTCAAAAAAAAAAAAAAAGAGAACTGTGAAACTCTGAGAGAAGAAATAGCTGAAGATGTTAACAAATGGAAAAACATAACCATGCTCGTGGCTGGGAAGAATCAACATTGTTAAAATGTCCATACTGCCCAAAGCAATCTTTAGATTTGATGCAATCCCTATTAAAGCACCATTGTCATGCTTTAAAGAATTGGAAAAAAACAGTACTTTGTTTTATACGGAATCAGAAAAAAAAAAAACAAATAGCAAATACATTACTTAGAAATAAGAACAAATCATGAGGATCATGTTACCAGACTTCAGGCTATATTATAAATCTGTAGTGATCAAAACAGCATGGTACTGGCACAAAAACAGAGAGGTAGATGTATGGAACAGAATAGAGAACCAAGAGATGAACCCAGCTGCTTATTACCATTTGATCTTCAACAAGCCTATCAAAAATATTCAGTGGGAAAAAGACTCCCTATTTAACAAATGGTGCTGGGTAAACCGGCTGGCGACCTGTAGAAGACTGAAACTGGACCCCCACCTTTCACCATTAATGAAAATTGATTCTCACTGGATAAATGATTTAAACTTAAGACATGAAACTATAAAAATACTAGAGGAGAGTGCAGGGAAAACACTTGAAGAAATTGGCCTGGGAGAATATTTTATGAGGACAACATTCTCAGGCAATTGAAGCAACACCAAAAATCCATTAATCAATAAGGAAAAAACAAATAACCCCATTTCTATGTGGGCAAGAGACTTGAACAGAAACTTCTCTGATGAAGGCAGGCACGTGGCCTACAAACACATGAACAAATGCTCATCATCCTTAATCATCAGAGAAATGCAAAGCAAAACTACTCTGAGATATCATTTAACTTCAGTAAGATTAGCCCACATCACAAAATTCCAAAACTACAGATGTTGGCATGGATGCGGAGAGAAGGGAACACTTCTACACTGCTATGGGAATGCAACCTTTTTGGAAAGAAGTTTGAAGAATACTCGAGGAACTAAAAGTAGACCTACTGTTTGATCCTGCAATTCCTCTACTAGGTATATACTCAGATGATCATAAATCATTTTACTACAAGGACATTTGCACCAGAATGTTTATGGTAACCCAATTCATAATTGCCAAGATATGGAAAAGGGCCAAGTGCCCATCAACCCATGAATGGATTGACAAATTGTAGTATATGTATACCATGGAATGCCATGCAGCCATAAAAAAGATGGAGACTTCAAATCTTTTATGTTTACCTGGATGGAGCTGGAACATATTCTTCTTAGTAAAGTATCTCAAGGATGGAAAAAAATTTATCCAATGTACTCAATACTACTATGAAATCAATATATAATCACCTACACATGCATACAAATGGTAAGACATAACTATAGTCCAGAAAGTAGAAGGGAAGAGGAGAGAGAGTGGAGGTGGGGAAGAAGGGTATTTGGGGGGAGCTTCACCTAATGTGCATGGTGCAATGGTACATTTCAAAACTATTAAGAGTATAATTATGGTGGATGTGTTACTTAGTTCAATGTATGCATTTCACATTGTATATCAAATCAATACACTGAACCCCATAAATGCATCAGTG